GAGATTGGGTTTATCGAAATAACCTCTTAAAATATAATTTCTTCGTGTGGTGTCCAAAAATTGAAAACAGTTCCAACATTACCAGAGTAATAATATGTAAAATAGCTCAATTTCATCAAATTATTCCCATCTTATGAAAAGTAGTATAGAGTTGCCGAGTTTGAGTGCAATTTATGAAATTGGGCTCGACAATTCCAATACTACCGCATGTAGTTTTTACTAAATATAAACGTATTCAATGTTTCTTTACAAATACATAAATCTCCAGTTATACTACTATTTTATTTTATTTTATTTTATTTCTAAGTCTTATTCATTTATTTGGATTTTTTTCGGTAAGCGATTTTGTCATTGTAAGGTTTTAAACATTTCACATTTGACACACAGGGTAAAATAGATGTTTGCGCAAATAACGTAGTGTAGTCAGTGTGTGTGTAATTAAGCAAGCTATGCTTTTAAGTTAGGTATTAACCTCAAGTTAGTAGTATATATTAGGCCAGCTTATTGGGTAATCCTTAGTTTTTAGTGTTAGCATTGTAAGTTATGTTAGTGATGTAAATGTTTTAATCATAAAAATTACATTTCCCTCGATTGTGATTGGTTTAAAAAACTCCTATTTTTCATTCACTTGCCAAACTGTTATCGGACAGTTTGTTATCAGACAGTAGCTAACTAGCTAATCACATTCAAAGCTGTAGTTTAAATCAACCAATCACAACCATTAAACAACTTACGCCTCCTTTGTCAGTCTTTTAATGCAAATATTCCCTTTCTTTGGTAACTTGGCCATTCTTCTTTCTCGGAAATTGTAATTTTTATGATTAATTAGTAATAAACCTTCATATCGTCCAATTCGGTCTGTAATCATACTCGTGATAAACAAATCTAACCCTCGATGCGCGTTCATCCGATTTTGTTATCACTCGTATGATTACAGACGGAATTGGACTCCTCTCTGTTTTTTTAGCATTGTAAATTTTGAGTACTGCATTAGTGAAGGGAAAAAAAAACGATGCATTTTCAAGTTCCGGGGGTTATCAGCTTCAGCCTTCGGCTTCGGCAGATAACCCTGTTGAAGTCCTAAATGTAATAACTGTCCTAAATGTAATAAAGTCCTAAATGTAATAACATTTGGTCCTAAATGTAATAAAGTCCTAAATGTAATAAGCCTCCAATGCAATCGTTTTACTCCTTCAGTGCATTGTTGTTATGGCGAACATCCACATTGAGATGTTAAAGTGACAGCTGTGGCACTAAAAAACCGCTGACCAGTATACATGTCACATTACGGGCTCGCTGATATCAATCAGCGTCTTTTTACTTGCTAGACATAGGAAATATCAGCAGTCGAAGTATGGTCCTATAAGCGGTTTATTGATAGAGCTGAAGAAAATCATTTCCAGCGCAAAGTGGGCTAGTGCTTGGCTGAAAGCTCAATAGGATGGAATCGATCGACTACAATTGATGTTGAACTAGAATGCTATTGTTGATGTTATCGTTCGTGTTAAAGTCTTTAGTGATGCACCATTTTAGAGCAGTTTGAATGATTTCGCTGTGTGACATGTTAATCCAAAAGAAAAGTATTATTATCGGTAGTGTTATTGAAATTTTGCACATCAATGTTATTGAGTGTCAATTGATTTTAATGAAGCATTTTGAGTTCATTTTTAGGAATGACTATCTTGATTTATTCAATTTTGAATCTGGGATATTGCATTTGTATGCCTTGAATATTGGTCAGAGGATTCTTTAGTGCAACAGCTGTCACTTTAACATCTCAATGTTAGCGCTGCTAAACGACTGCATAGGAAGCTAATTACATTTAGGACCGAACGTTATTACATTTAAGGCTTTATTACATTTAGGACCAAATGTTATTACATTGAGGACTTTATTACATTTGGGACAGTTATTACATTTAGGACAGTTATTACATTTAGGACTTCAACAGAGTATACCTGTTCATGTTTCTATAGACGCCTCAATCTTGAGAGTGACTTTACCGTACTAAACTCAATGAAACAGACAAATATCTTATTCGGGAAATATTGCTATGTCCTTTGGGTTTTTGTGTTATAGTGTTTCGACTGCTCTTTTTTTGGCGCTGCGAATTGTAACAGTTGGGGTCTTTTATTAGCTCAAAATGAAGAAAAGAAACAACCATTTTTCGAACCTTATTTACTTATTTTTTTTAAGTAGTGCCATGACTTTTTCTCAGACTTCAAACCTAACAGTCTTGATTAAACAGAAAAATGAGATTCTATCTGCAGTTCCTATATTTGTAATACTGTAATAGTAATAGAACTGTAATAGCCTAAGTTGAAAACTATTTTTTTGCTAAAGGCGTAACAAAGCAGAATTATCTCGCCATTAAGAGGCACCGTCAGTAAATGATTGTTGTTGGGATATTTTTAAGTGCTCTTTTTTTGTAGCACATGCGATGCCTAAATCACAATCCTTTTCCTTCCTAAATACTGCACAAAAACATTTATTTATATCAAAACAATCTTATTATAATCCCTTCTGACCAGCCTCTATTTTATAAAATAGAATATAAAATGCAGAGGTCTTCGCGTCTTCTTTTGTGAACGATTCGGTTTTGTCGATCATGTATTTTCGTCACAAATTAGCTTAAGTTCATTTTCAGTGCAGGCAAATAACCACATATGACAATATACGTTGAAAAGTGGCTCAGGCGAAAGTTTAAAGAGAAATGTGACCTCGTCCGGGCCGGCAAACACGATAATAACATTCAATGAACTGGTGATCTATACAATGTGTTGTAGTCTACGTCAGCTTAAATGGTGGTAAATTGGAGTAAATCAGAGTATAATTCTGAAGTTACTGCACATAGCAACGTAACAGAACCAGTTTAAATTTTATAAGAATTAAGAACAACAAATTATGCCCCAACAAATGGTTTATCATTTGCAACTTTTTTTTCCTGTTTGTCTACTTCATGTTTAGTCTGTGCTACAGTAGCGAGAATTACAAATCGGAGTTGGAGTCAGTTTGTAGATAAAGAAGGATCCACAGTTTTTCTTTAAGATTTCATTTGAATGGCTGCAAGTGTTAGAACGTCTGGTGTAGCAGACCGCCCTAATTACTTCACCATCTGCCACTGTAGATTCAGCACCATTCAACCAGCCTGAGAAGGCTGTATTACAGTGAAAATTATCCACTGGCGTTGTTGGCATTTTTGTCCCTGCAGCTCCCTCAAAACGATACCATCCCTCAAGTAGCAAGTTGTCACACACACCCTCACTAGATGGGGGTGTATCGTAACTACTCTTTCTGTCAGCGTCGCTCAGTGTTGAGTAGTGATAACAGCCGTCGGCTGGAAAGTAAATTGCAATTCAAAAAAGAAATGATATATATATATATTTTTTTTTTTAATTTGACCTTGATTGCGAGAACTCATCAGGATTATTTATGCATTATTATAACCACCCTCTTATAGTAAAAGCAGGCACATGACACATTACAGCGACGATGTTGTGTAAAAAATACGGAAAATTTTGTACCAGCTCGGCATTGACTTTCCAATTACCTTCTTCCTTGTAAGAGAAGATTCGTTACAGGGCGAGTGCCAGTCTCCTAAATTATTTTTACAACAAAATTCCCGCAACCCTTCCATGAGATATACCCGCGGATTTGAGGCAATCCGTGACCTCATTGGTGTATAAAATATGCATTGATATGCTTTTTCAGCCCGATTAACGCCTGCATTTTGATAATTCTTTCGTAAAAAGTAGTGAATTTTTGATATGCAAATTAAGGTCGAAGAGAACGGTCTACTCTGATCACGCTAGTATGAAAAATATTTCAGCTGAAGTTTCCATATTTTGTCTGTCAACTAACTGAATACACTTTGTAACTTGTAGCAAGATAGAATTCCGTGAGCTACATTGCTGCAGTCGCTGCGCGCTGGACAAAATCTTTGAAATTTACACCTTCGATCGCTGTCCACAGGGGTGGTCTGGCCAAAAATCATTTTTGGCTTGTGGTGACGCAAAAAAAGAGAATTGGAGAAGAACTAAACGATTTTTGAAACATGTGTCCTAAACCCTTTAAATGGGCAAAAAATAAAAGAAAACTTTTTTCCGTCGGGAAGTCGAGAGGACCGCTCTTAGCGGGAGCGGCACTTAAAGTGTCTCTCGTTTAATGCGTGGTGTTCGGCAGAAACAGCTTGTTTGATGTGCTATAGTTTTCTGGCTTAAATTGAACAGTTCGCCTTTTTTTCAACTTTGCCGCCATCTCTGGGCTAAGTGTTTCTCTCCCGCAAGTAATTTTTCACACTCCGACGCCGAATTTAGAGAAATTTTCCATCATTTTCACTAACACAGCTCTTTATTCTGTATACTGATGGGGTGACTTCGCACTTAGCCTCGTTCTCACGCCTTAATTTCGGCACCAGATCACTGAAGTCCGAGAACTTGGAAGTGGTCTATTCCAATGCTTCAAAGGAAATGCAGAATGACGAAGATATGAACACACAAACAGACGAGAAAATGAAGACTCAGAAAGCCGGTTATTTCTCAGTGGTTATAAAGTCTATCGCTGAAACTCCATGAAATGATATTCTCACAGAGCAAGATAGAGGGACAGAAAACAAACCTTCACATTCAATTCTGTTCCAGAAATAATGAGTTTGGCAAGTGCAATTGAATGACCCCACAGTGTTTGTACAATTGGCGCCACCCTTGCTACAATTATTATTAACCAAAGCACACTCGTCGATATCTGAAGATGACAGAAACACATTGATAAGAGGTCTGGTGGAATGAATAACACAAAAAGATTATATTAGCTTCTACACAATTTTATTTCCAAATAGCTAATTTCGTCGCTGTTTATGATCTAAGCTCTATCTGTTATTCAGACTATAAAATAAACGGCACATGAACAAGCATGCAGAAGTTCAAGAAAAGAACCCATATATAGACCTTTTTGTGTTACGACAGGAGTGCGATGCGGCTTTTGTGTAAAATTGCTGATAGTCAACACTCACCTAGGCACGTTTGGCCATCTCCTGAAAATCCTTCTTTACATTTGCAGCTGTAGGATCCAAGGGTATTTGTACATTCAGCATTTGAATCACATTTGTGTTTTCCCAGACTGCACTCATCAACGTCTCAAAGAAAAAAAAAGTAATTTAATTACCAAGGTTTCGATTTTCTACCATGCACAGACAACTTATAACTCATATTTTAACTCATATCTTTTTAAAATATTTCATTTCTCAGTGCGTTTTTTATATCAAAGCACTATCAAGTATAATGCCAACTACGATGGGACTTGTAGTTACCCCTCCACCTATAGTACCACCCACTATTAAACAAGATGATGACATATTGCATAACAGATCTAGTGTCTTGAACCTCTTATAAGCTTCTTTATACAATCGAAGCCGTTTGTGATAGTATTTGTATAATAATGTTATTTCACTTATTGGGTTTTTGTTCAATGATATGATTGGTTTTTTTAAGACCCTCCAAAACCTGGTAGACCACGTATACTAATTACTCTGTTTTGTCAGTCTTGTATCAGCACCAGAAGAAATAACCATACATATAATATGTGATTATACTAAATTAACTGATTTATTAATAAGAATCTGACTGTAAGAACCACCATCCGACATTCCTTGAGCTGTTTGAATCCTTACTTCAAATTCAGCAGTTACACTAATGGGATAAAAAAACAGTAAACAGTTTGTGTCTTCAATATATAGACGAACAAAATATCAGGATTGACGCTCCGAGGATTTATATGTATTCTTGTGCCCGAATTGGTGGTCGTAGCCAGCCATGAATGATGTATAGCGCCGAAGCCTGGCTACTGTAATTACTGGAACGCTCCTTCGTGGATGGAAGATAGATCTTAACGGTTAGCGATCGGTGTAAGGGTGAAAGATTTTTTTCAGTTTTGTGAGTGTCCTGGAAGCAAAAGCAATGGGTGTCTCAGTCTTTCATCACGTGGGATAGCACGGTACCAATTCCCACAGGGCATGCATCACAAGGAAGCCTTTGTGGGAGAGTGGGATCCTAATGTGTTAATATTTGCTCTGAGGTGATCATTTCTTTCAGGTTGTGGAATGCTGTTTCGCATCGTTCTGTCCATTTCCATAGAGAGTTGTTCTCTAACGACTGGTTCAGTCTGTAGTAGTAATTGACTAACACCGGGAACAACCTTACTTCAGCTAAATTGCATGGGCGAGGCGCTTTCAAAACTGCTTGCACTTTCTCTGGTGACTTGTGGCTGGGACAGGCACATTTTGTGTGGCCCATTCACTCCCATCCACTTTAGTGAGAATACCTTCATTCTGGAGTGTTCACAGCTCTTTTTCCAACTTTGGCTTAAATGCCTCTGGCATGAGTCTAATGTTGAGGAACTGCGCTTAGCTACCAACTTCAAGAGTTAACTTCCCTTTAAGGAGGATCCGCATATTTTAAATTTGCTAAGGACTTTAGGAACGTAGACCGTAGACGAAGCGAAACAAAAGAGGTATTGAGCAAAAAAAAAAAAAAAACAGCACGCGCGTTATAAAACTTGTACTTTTCTTAGTTGTCCCACTCAAGAAAAAAAAACGTTAAATAACCAACTGTTACGTCCTCTTAGCAGGGAAACCTCCGCAGCAATTTGGTCATGTTTTTTTACCAAAAACTCAAGGGAAGCTGTCGCAACGTCAGAGACAGTGAACGCGTCGAGTTACAAGCTGGATTGCGTTGCAGCAAGGGTTCACTGAGGTTTCCATTGCGAGAAGCGGCAGTGAGGCTATTCCCTTCTTGATAGATGTTTTTCCATCTGTTTCCACCCCTCCCCCCTTCCCCTGACGTTTGCCCAGGTTTTTCTCACAGTTTTACTGCTGGTCCTTCTTTATCCTCGACGAGAAAATAAATATACGAGGACAGTGCTAAAGACTTAAAAGAAAACAGCCGGTTATCGACTTTCCTAGTCATCAAATGACCGCTAACATTTAGGTACTGAAAACACATATCTGCCTCACCTTCTGTGCAATCTTTACCCGTGTAACCCGGTACGCAGACACATGTATACCCCTCACTGGAGGAACCAGCTTGGCAGATCGTATTACTCGGGCATGGCTTCTTTATGCAAGCGTTCTTTGCAAAGAAAACGAAAATGGCCAAGTCAAGGCGATGTCTATGCAAGTTAGGAGGGGAGAGTAAGCAGGTAAATTAACAAAGCCATTCTGAAGGCGAATAAATGAGACGTGAGTGAAAAATGGTAATTAAGTGTTGGCAGTGCTTCCAGGACACCTAAACGGCACATACTCTCTACAAGATCAATGAGTTAAATATACCCGCTTTGAAAATAAATCGGTCATAAGAACTAAACAGACAAAGATAGTCAGCTGAAAATTTTTGACCGTTTTTTTGACAGAACTGGAAATTCCAACAAAAGTGCCCTACCGTAGACCCCCCACAGTGACGGATCCAGACCTTAAGCTAAGGAGGAAGGGGGGGAAGGGGCGGTTTTTTGTCGCTTTCCCTGTCAGCTTTTTCTTTCCTTTGCGATTTTTTTTATTTTTTACCCAAAATAAGGGGGGCGGTCTCCCGGGCTTCTCCCAAGATCCGCCGCTGCTCTAGTAAGTTCCTCCAATTCAGGGAAAGGCAAATAATTAAAGAATTCGTAGATTAAAAATTAAGATAGGAAAAATAAAACTTTTAGACAGTGCCCATGATCTTCACAGCAGCTCAAGACTTGTGTTTTTTTCATCCGGTGCTTAAACTGTGTTTACTAATACCATACTCTCCATATTCAAAGGGTAATTGAATTTAATCAAGGATAAAATTTAACCATACGTATAAACGTATCTTTGATGTTCGGTGAATATCGAAACTTTGGTGAGATAACGAGAAGCGTTATTTTGTAATCTACGTCTCTGTACCAGTCGTGTTAATTGTAAACAATGATGGTTGAAAGCACTTAACCTGACTGTCTTGTATGCCAACTGGGAGCTGGTCATTATGTTGGTTCCAAATAAACCGTGTAGGGAAGAATAAATGACTTTAAATATACGAAAATCATAAAGGTGAACTGCGGACCAGCTCCCAGTTGGCTTGTTAGCTCATTTGGAAGAGCGTTGCTCCGGTATCACAGAGGTCATAGGTTAAAATCCCGTACATGCCTGAATTTTTTTCACGCTCTATTACCACTACTGCCTAAGTACTGTTCATTACTGTGAAGATCGCTTTCAAATTCATTTCTTAAACTGCAGTTCACATGTATGATTTTAAAATATTTACAGTCGAAAAAAAAAGGACATGAATAAACTAGTAAAAAATTGAATTGTGACAAAGACATACGGATAGGACAAAAGAAGGCCTACCTTATCCTAATCGTTATATGTTATAAACATACCTTGGATCCACGATAGGTGCTGTTTGGAAATGACACCAGATCACTCGGGTATTCAAAATGTGTAGCGTCATTCATCTCGCATTTGGTGATCGGTGGAGAATCACTGGATACTAGTATATTATAGCTGACACAAGTGGGCACCATGAAGCACACTGCTTCACAGATGTCCTTTGCGACGATGTCAATTTCTTTTATCGTGTGGTTAAGCAGCCGTTTCCCTCTGAATGCAAGGGTAGCACTGAAATCCACTTGAGGACAGTGGTCTGTAGAAAAGAACGATGAATAATAATTTTTACATGAGGATGAACGAGAAAGGAGATTGAAAAAATATCATACCATTGGTTTCAAGGGAATGCTCTATTTGACAAAGACACCGGATTTAGTGGTGGAGGTAAATAATAGGGAAGAGATGGAGGTAGAGAAATTGATAAATGAAACTTCAATCAACGTAATAAAAAGAGTACACGAATTTAAATCGACAAAAAAGCTTAACATGACGTCCGATTACATCCTGTTATCATTGTCAATATTGAAAGGGATTAGCATAATTGATTTACTCTATGTAAATAAATACATAAATTTTAAAGTACAAAAATGATTACTTTAATGAGAACAAAGCTTGAAAGTGTGCTTTGTATTCATACAAATAATTTCGCCCGAATGGAGCCTGGGTGAGTATTATAAATAACCCGAAAGACTTCTTCTGTCGGTAAGGACAAAGTCAATAAATGAGAATTTTGTAGATTGAAAACTAGGCCCACTGCTGATTTTTAATCATGATTCAACTCATTTTTCCATCTTGAGCCTTAGCGCCAACGCACTGTGCGTTTGTCGATTCTTCAATTGAATTTTTATGCATTCATGAAATCGGCTTTTCTTGTCACTGAAGGGCTTATGTGTTCGTATGATAAACAAATTATAAAATAATTCAGATAGTGCGCGCGCTCTGATTGGCCATAAAACCATTTTACAAGAGCGTATGTAAACACGGTTTTCGTTCCTCTTCCATTAGTTATTTTATAAAAGAAATGTAAAATGGTTTCCGTGTTTACATAGCCTGATGTAAACACGCGGGAGGTTGGAGAACACGAGATAAGCGTAGGAAACCACGACGCGAAGCGGGGTGGTTTCCAGCTTATCGAGTGTTCTCCCAACCTCCACAGTGTTTACATCAGGCTATGTAAACACGGAAACCATTTTACATTTCTTTAATAATGCATGGTTGCTTGTAGATATGGAAGTTCCGTCTCCTCTCGTGTTCAACACATCACACTCGTTCGCTGCGCTCACAAATTGTACTTGCCCTACGGGCTGCTGCACTTTTGTTGTCTTTGAAAATTTCACTCGTGCTTATTTTCACCAATAAAGGGGGTAAGTTTCTAAAGAAACTATGGTGCTGCGTCGATGGGAGAGTATAGCAGGTAATTTAGTGTTAACAACTGAGTTGAAAACGTAAATTGGCCACCGTAAAGGCTAAAAAAGCTGACGTTTCGAGCGTTAGCGATTGACGAAGGGCTAACGCTCGAAATGTCAGCTTTTTTACCCTTTACGGTGGCCAATTTACGTTTCAAACTCAGCTGTTAACACTTAATTACCTTATTTACACCAAATTGCACTCGAAATCATGTTATTGCCTAAAATAAACGAGGTTAAACACTTTAGAGCCATAAGCTGGCAAATCTATGTCCCTCCCTAGAATTTATGGTCTTATATGAATTGGTAAGGTTAGCATATAATCAATCAAAACTTCAAACCATGACTGAATACTACGATATTGGGTAATGATCTACAAGGAAAAGGTCTGGTCTTTTCTTTTTTTATTAGAAGCATCTCCGAATATAAGATAGTCGAGCTTTCAAGGGCAGTTCTTAATTACAAAATTCTCACGTAGGTTCGCTGTTCTAAAATTGTGTTGCATGTATCACTATGCAGTGTGTTGTTTTGGAAGTAGCTGCACGTGTAACCTGTATGGCCGGTTTGGTCGCAAAAACCAAATTCTGTTGTTTTCCCAGGAAAGGCTTAAAGCTTTGTTTATCATTTTTCTGTTTTGTCTTATTTTCAAATAAATATCAAAATTCATCCCACTGAAAGAGTTTATTGATTCGTTTAAGGCAACAAATTCATTGTTTTGTTATGTTTTCTTTTGGTTTGGTTTTGTTTTTATTATCCGAGACTTTAACAAGCAGAATTGCAACAGACGTTGCCTTGGAAGTATTTTGTCCAATTTTAAAATTCTCATGCATGTTCTTACAACGTCGCCTTTTCTACCTGATGAGTTATGCGATGATTTGAGTTCGTGTTTTCAACCACTTTGTAAAAGTCACCAAAATTTTGACATGGGGCTACATGTACTATTCATAAGTAATTGGTAGGTGATATTTCAGTTCTGTACCCGTCAAGAGGAAAGATGAAAAATTTGTCAAAGAATTGGCGCTCAAAACACGTGTCGAGACGAACAATTTAGGATCTAAGATCTGGATGGAGATCGGAGATGATATGATGATGATGATAAAAAGATGAGACAGCACTAAATTCGGTTATTTCTTTCCGGATGATTGTGTTCCTTTAGAATTCCAGTTTCTGGATAACTGAAGCACATTTCGTTTTTTAATCGAAAATAATTCCTTCGTGAATTTGAAGCCATGAAACGTTTAAATTTCTTTCAGAAGGAGCTATCTCTCAATCTAGATTTAGGTGTATTCGACGGAAGTTCACGCGAGAAAAAGGTTCTGTCAACATTTCGACCGTTTCTACAATTCTACATATTTGCTTCTGATTCTGATCGAAAATCATTTTCAAAACGACAGTAAAAGGACTGATTAGACTTTCGAGGGAGGTTTTTGAAATTTTCTACTTATTTATTTCGTTGTGTAAATATGCTGAGAGAAAAATGGATGATTAAGCTTCGCTTTAGCTCACTGAATTCATAGTCATACTCATGACAGTAACGGCACTTAGCGAGTTTTTTCTTAGGGGGTAGTTTTTGTAATAGTCACAATAGAACTTTCGAAATGAATTACTTTCTTTTACTCCCGCTTCAAACGCACTATAAAGTAACAGTTTTAAAAACTTTCCTTGAAATTAATCAAAAAATCTATCCACCTTCTTCGCATTTCACATCACACATCAGAGAGCAAAGCACAGTGAGGGTACCAATAGACACGATGCCAGGCATCTTTCCAAACTACTCCTGTAAAAATTACCAAAATGTAAAATCGTGCACTGCGTTACTTGCATGCAAGACGCTTCTCGCCTGGAGCTACTGAAGACTCAATGTGATTTATCGCGGAGACAACTGACGTTGATGAATTAGATATCTATTTCCATCTACGTAAATTAACTTTAGGCATTGCATTAAGTAATTGTTATGGTAGACGTCAGACACCTTATGATGATATTCTTTCAACGCAACCGTTTTGTTTTGCATTTTAAATCAACTTCATTCTTTAGTAAGTTTATGAACCCGTTTCTTTGCATGAAGCTTCTAGGAAATTGCCAAAGGAATGAAATAGTAAATTTCTTATAGCGTATCTTTTTAGATACTAGCAACGGGTCAACGTGAGAAATTTGACATGCACAGAAATTTCCTTAGCTTTATTTGCAAATTTCTTCTCAGATGGTGATACCCCGTGTAAACATTTCGCTATTCATTGAAGACAGAGGCAAAAATAAAGCTGCTAAGAAAAACTATTTTTTTCTTGTTGTCAGAGAGACATTTTATTGTGTTGAAGAAAGAAAAAAGAATAAACGGTCGGAAATTTAACTAAGTTGTGTTCAAAAGGAATGATGAGAAAAAAAACAGGAAATCATATTCGAACGAAAATGAATTTTTTGAGGAGTCTGACGCCTAATGGCTTACGAATATCCGTTTTTCTTTTTCCTTTTCATTTTTCTCTCCAAACAATCAATGAAAATGCTCCAGTGTCTTTCATGGAAATGCTGTGTTTTTCTTGGCACAAACATTGACCGACATGAAAACACTTCAATTGCTTCCAGCAGAATATCGACATCATTTTTAATTAATTTCAGTGTTATTTTCAGAATGTCATCACAGACACTTCTGTCTAAGAAGCAAAGCCTAAATTTGCGCACCTTTTGCGCAATAAATTTTCTAGCAATACCAACATTTTCAAAAATAAATTACGGAAACACATCACAAATATTTCAAAGCATCATTTGCCTGAAATGACAGATAAACTCTACAATATATGCCAATGTAGCATTCTAATAATTAATGACAGCAACTCGCCGGTTCTATAGTGCTAGTGAAGTATATTGAACAAACATTTTAGCCGCAGGAAATTAATCATGGGTGAAGTGAAAATAATATTTTAAAGATAATGAGGAAAGATGGGAAAAAAACCTTCTTTATTCATTCTTATTTTTTTTCCTTTTGGCGGAAAGTTTCGTTGTAAACCGCAATTCGATGCACCTGACCAAATCAGGGAGGATTCGAAGCTAAGTGCACGTACTACTTTTTTCCTTTTTAGCTTTGAGCTGTCAGTTTAAATATAAGAGGTCCAAGCTTTGCCCTTGGACAACATTAGCAAGGGTTATGAGAGAGTGCGACGAGCGGATGTCTGGAAACTTCGAATGACTCGAAAGCTTTGAACAAATTGAACAGATTTAGGCCTCTTGAAAGCACGGAAAAGATATTAACAAACTGATCAAATTACAGCTTCCGTTTCACCTGTTAACTAAATACGTGCCCTCTTTAGACGGTTCTTGAACTAGTTTTAGAAATATATAACAGTTTCTGAATTCAAATTATGCCGAGAAGAACATTCGGTGTTCCTTTTATAGAACATCAATGCTCTGCTTATTGGATTGATACTGATATCATATGATCCATCGGCCCTGCTCACGCAATCCTGACGTATGCGAGGCCGGAAAGGTTGACGTGAGCCGTTTCGGAAGAAGCCGTCCGGCCTTACACTCGAAAGGCTCTGTTGCAATTTGCTAAAACAAGAATTTGTGGAATTAGGCTTAAAAAAGATAGAAACAAAACAGTTTATCTATTACGTCACACTCGCTTCAATTATGTCACATTAGCTAGAATTGGGTGATTACAAAGTAAAAATGCAGATATTATTTTCACTTCACATGGTGAACTCCACCCATAACATGGTATATGGAGCGTTTTCTTCAAAAGCCATAAAGGAACTACTTTTATGTACTTACGATAGCAACATCTGTAACAGATGCATCAAACGCTATGTAAAATATGCGAGAATTCTTCAGCAAGTATTTTTTAACTGTATTTAGTTATTTTAAAATTGAAATTTGTTCCCCTTAAATTAAATAAACAAAAGTCATCAATGTGCGTGCAAAAACTCTCAGCCGCGTTGCCGATAGAGGACTGGCCTATGCCAAGTTTAAAGCTCACAAATTTTCTTACCTAAATATCTCTGGAATTGGTTCAAGTTATGTTCCCGATGGCGTTGAGTGTGGACTTGCTTGTGTCAGCATACCTTTATGCCTCTCCCTTAACCTAGTTGCATTTCATGACATCATTGGTAAACTGCCGTGTGAGGTACTTCCATCAGACATGTACAACAACTCGGACAAGTTTGTCGCCAGTACAGTCACCATCACTTTCGTATCACAGCAAGTTAAAAATCTCAACGTAGTTTACAATTTCAACAACATTTGAATAAAACAAAAATGGGATAGGAAGGTACATTTAATTCGAGTAAAGGATTGTTATTGCACTTACCGAATTTGGTGAATTACTGGATAAGCCTCTAAATTTGTCTAAACAGTCTTAACCTTCCTAACACAGAGTTTGAATTAATTTTCTCCAAGCGATATTAAGTTCTAGTACACACGTGACTGTCAGGTTTCATTTTGTATGAATCAAAAATCTGGGTTACTGGTTTATTTAATTATTTGACTGCAAAAATGATAAATTTCATTTGAGCCACGAAAGAAGAAAAAAAATATGAGTATAAACCTCAATCCTCCTTTTCCCTAAGTTTTGATCGAAAGGTGTGCCGTGTTTCGTTTGCCTCTTTAGTCTCCTTGCATCAGTTGGCCTTGTCAAAACACAGGAGCTTGTGCCACGCAGTATGAGGAAAACATCTACGTGTGCCTTTGTGCGAAAGGATACAAAGGGAAACACACACACACAGACGCACACAAAATAAAAATGCTTTGATATTTTATGTTAAAAAAAAATGCATACCTTACTTACTTCGGTGAGCACCCCTTGTAACTTGTGGGAGGGGGAAGTTTCCGTTGGCTAGATTATCCCAATCGCAGCGCGCTCGACAAAAGTTGTGAAATATGTATTTTCCGCTGGTATTCGAAGTAATTAAGCGTACTTGTTTCGCTTTGACACCTGCCACTCCCTTTATTGTACCTTCTACGCTGTTATTGGTCGGCTTCTAGTACTTATACTCTCTACTGTTCACTGTACACCATTCACGTTTGCGGTTTCCTACTTCACAGTTTTACATCTTTTCGCGAGTGTTCCCCCCCCTCCCCTCTGCTTACTACGTTTTCTTTTATTACTTTTATTCAGGCCGTAGAGGCGCTTCTTGCGACTACTCACGTTGCTACAAGTGTGGAAAATTTGGGCACTGGGCTAAGGACTGTAGATCCATGTTCTGGCCAGGAAGTTACCAGTTTCCCAACTACAACAAGCCAGCCGGAAGCCATTCATCTCAATACCAATCAAAGCAGTGAAGAGGACTTGGCACAGGTAGAAGAAATCGTACAGAAATACGAACTTGAAAGCGGACAGTCTTTAACCGTTAAGGGTAATTTGAAGAAAAATCTAGGGTTTTGGAGATCTATTGGTGCTCCAAATTTCATTTTGACTATTATTGAAAAGGGCTACAAATGACCATTTGCTAGCCTTCCATTAGCTGTAAGGCTAAAGAATAATAAGTCTGCTCGACTTCATGCTAATTTCGTTGACCAAGCTGTTCTTGAGTTAGTTAATTCAGGTCGGGTTTGTAGGGTTGATAAGCAACCTTTTATTGTCAACCCCTTATCAGTATCTATTCAGCCATGTGGCAAAAAGAGATTAATTCTTGATTTACGTCACGTTAACAGGTCCCTAATTAAACAAAGAATCAAATACGAGGATTGGAAAATTGCTATGTCTTATTTTGCCAAGGATTCGTACATGTTTTCTTTTGACTTGAAAAGTGGCTATCACCATATCGAAATTTCGCAGGATCACCAAACGTTTTTGGGGTTTTGTTGGCGTGCTCCAGATTCCAATAGCGAAGTATTTTACGTTTTCACCGTTCTTCCGTTTGGTTTGTCTACAGCTCCCTATATTTTCACAAAGCTTCTTAAACCTTTAGAGAAACATTGGAGAATACAAGGTACTTGCATAGCTATTTTCTTAGATGATGGTTGGGCGATAGTTCAGGACAAAGAAGGTTGTCTTCTTAAGGCCCAAACCGTAAGGCAGGACTTGAATGGTGCGGGTTTTGTAGTGAATGAAGAGAAATCGGTATGGGAACCTACTCAAATTTTGGTTAGGTATAACCTGGAATTCTTTATTGGGTACTCTAAGAATTTTAGAGAGAAGAATTACTAAGATTACCAACACAATAGATCGTATTATTGAGACCGATTTTAAACTTTCTGCTAGAGAGCTGGCTTCTTTCACGGGTCAAATTATCTCTACTGCGCCTGTGGTTGGAAACATTGCTAGGATAATGACCAGACATTGCGTTATGTCTACCTTGTGTATAGATAATTGGGATTCAGTATTTTGTCTTGATGATTATTGCAAAGAGGAATTATATTTTTGGAAAGATAATTTGATTAACCTCAACAGCAGATATTGCTTTGTAAGTAAAGATCCTAGTTATTTTGTTTACTCAGATGCTAGCGCCACTGGAGGCGGTGCATTCATCGACTTTAACAATGACTTTGTGTGTCACAAATTGTGGACGGAGAACGAAAGTTTGCGAAGCTCAACATGGAGAGAGTTATCTGTTATTGAATTTTCATTGAAATCATTTGCCCCTGTACTTAAAGGATCGCACGTTAAGTGGTATACTGACAGCCAAGCCGCTGCCAAGATTGTTGAAGTGGGCAGCATGAAACTTGATCTACGCAGGATCGCGCGGAGCATTTTCAGTATTTGTATCCAGTCGGGGATTCATTTAGAGGTCCAGTGGATTCCACGTACTTTGAATCAGCAAGCTGACTATATAAGTCGATTAATTGATACCGATGATTGGCAAATTACCAACGAATTTTTTCTATTTCTTGATGAACGTTTGGGGCCCCATACTGTTGATTGTTTTGCCAATTATTTCAATCACAAACTCCCCAAATTCTTTTCAAGATTCTGGAATCCCAATACTGCAGGTGTCGATTTCTTCTTTCAGCCTCTTGGTGGGGAAAATTGTCTAGTGGTTCCAGCCGTGGGTATTGTATGAAGTGTCAGTATGCCGTTGGTACACTTGTTGTACCCTTCTGGCCTTCAGCTCATTACTGGCCAATCACAAACTCCCCAAATTCTTTTCAAGATTCTGGAATCCCAATACTGTAGGTGTCGATTTCTTCTTTCAGCCTCTTGGCGGGGAAAATTGTCTAGTGGTTCCACCCGTGGGTATTATATGAAGTGTCAGTATGCCGTTGGCACACTTGTTGTACCCTTCTGGCCTTCAGCTCATTACTGGTCATTAATTATGCACAGATATGGTGATTCTCTCGTGGCCCACGTTATTCGTGCTGGGAGGGAGGTTCTTATTCATGGAAGAAATCATAATTCGCTGTTAGGGTCTCACCAATTCACAGGCTATATTATCGCCTTAATAATGGAATTTACTGAGTAACAATTTGGACTTGTTCATCAAGTGTGTTGGCGCTGGCCTAAGCAATGGTTTGATTTCATGAGGCACTGGCCGAAACAATGATTTGCATCTTGTGGCACTGGCCTAACAATGATGTCTTGTTTTAAGGGCACTGGCCCAGACTCCGGCCCAAACAATGATCCATTGGGCACTTTGGGATTCCCATCTTATTGTCACTACACTAAGGGCGTGCGTTTTGTTCCTTTTAGTTTGTATGTTATGTTCTTTTTTTTTTCAGATACTTTCTTCAAGCAAGTCATGGAAAGGTTCCCCAGTTCTTTCGTCATTGAATGCCAATCATGTTTTAGACGTGATGTTGAAATCCAGAGCAGATGCTACAGCAAAATCCTATATGCGAGTTATTAAGAAGTTTTTGGATTGGTGTAAAAGCAAGCAAATAAGCTTTGAGCTACCTTTTCCTTTAGGTGTCGTATCTCTTTATTTGTTCGAAGTCCAACAGTCTTGTAGTTCCAGTTCTTCTGTAATTTTGACCCGCGCTGCCCGTAAATGGCTACATTCATTTGTTCCTAGTCTTGATTGTAACCCATTGGATAGCGATTTTTGCAGAAATATTATCGAATCTGCCAAACGCCAGAGGTCACAACCGATTGTGAAAAAGAAACCCATTACCACAGAAATCATTAGGAACATATTGGACGTTCATAACAAGGAAGATTCTAATCTGAAGGATCTTCGTATTGCCGCATTATGCTCATTAGCTTTCGCAGGTTTTCTTCGGTATGACGATTTATGTAATATCGTTCCGAAGCATATTGAGTTTCATAATGATTATATAAGGATTTTCTTGCCTCGAAGCAAAACCGATATTTATAGGGTAGGGAATTATGTCTATATTAGCGCTTCCACATCTAAGTACTGTCCTGTCGGTGTCTTAAGAAGGTATTTGAACCTTTCTGGGATTGACAGCAATAGTAATCTTCCTTTATTTAGACCTAACTTTTCACCCTAGTAATTCTAGCTATACCCTGAGAAGTGGTAAGATTTCTTATACTAGATGCAGGGAAATTCTTAGAGATTGCCTGAGTAAGCTAGGTTATAATCCTAATAATTTCGGTCTTCATAGCTTAAGATCCGGTGGCATTACATCTGTAGTGCGTAATAGTGGTTATTCGATTTCAGAAAGACTACTTAAAATACATGGTAGATGGAAGTCTGACTCTGCCAAGGACATGTACATTGAAGAGAGCCTTGAGAATAGATTATAAGTAACTAAGTATTTACGCTTGTAATATCATTGAGCATCTATATTTCACACGTTCCTTTATTCTTTATATTAGCGTAAACAATAAAGCGTTCTACTTATGAATTGTAAAAAAAAAAAAAAGGAATAATTTTTGTATTATGATTTAATGTACTTAATGTAATTAATGTAATATCATTGAGCATTTATATATTTCACACGTTCCTTTATTCTTTATATTAGCGTAAACAATAAAGACTTCTACAAATGAATTGTAAAAAAAAAAAAAAAAAAAAGAATAATATTTTTGTATTATGATTTAATCTAGATGTAATAAACTGTGTTTTGGATCCGCTTACGCATCCTACCATACTGCTTGTCTGATTTATTTATTACGGGAATTTAAGGGTAAAATAATTTACGTTCGTTTGAGCGAAGCGAATTAGAACGTAAGTACAATTTTGATTGCTTTTCTTCCAGCTGCAGGCACTTCAAACAACAATCGACTTCGGCTTGCGTCGATGCTGAAGGATAATTTTTCTTTTTCAAATCACGTTTAGAATTCCAATCCGATTGATGTATCTGCCACTGGGAAGTCAATGACTGATTATTGTTATAAACTAGTGATCATTTGTCATTCATTTGTTATAGACTAGTAATTTTTTTGGAAATGTATGTCCAGGAAATTTTCATGGGCACTGTGTTCAACTACTAGTGCGCGCTGATCTTACCTCCGGACATCTTACAAATGTAGGCATTTTTATCAAACCCAGAGATATCATTAGAGAGGCCTCCATTCTTGGATATATCAGAGAAATCGTCGTTATCATTCCGAAACATTCAGTTTTCTCCACTCTCCCAAGTCCAAACCCCAGCTTTATTCTCTAAACCAATAAGCCACGCACTGGTACTCCGACATTTGAAACAATTAAAAAGTTTATTGGATTTCGAGTTAGACCAGTACTAATGCATTTTATTTGCTGCAAGCAGTTTAACATCTACTAGTGACTTTTATTACATTCCCTAGGGAACTGATGGAGTAATTTTCAAAAATGCAGTATCTCTGCGATGTACCAACCAGCTGAACATAACTTGTTGCATACGGAAAACATTTTTAAGGATGCGGTACACCTTTGCGAATTCCTTCATGAATTTTTTCATGACAAATCATGGCTCTTTCCCACAGGATTTTCACAAGGAATTCAGTGAGCACGACGTGTTTCACAAGGTCCAGAGGAGCTCAGTTTGAACACATGAATTGCTTTTAATACTTTGTGAAACATAAATCCTTATTGCTTCACGCAGTTAAAAAGCTCAGTAGCGAATCTTTGTGAATCCTTTAGCGACAGATTTCTGGCTCCACGTCTCCTGATCGACGCAGTCGTTCGTCTCTGCAAATCGGTATTTTAAAATAAATGACCGCTAATTAGCCGGCGCAAAACGAAGCTTTCCGAGCGAAACGGCGTATTATTTACTGTGCGCCGATCTTGGCACCTTACGAGCTCTTAGTCTTTAGCACTGCGGTATATACCTTGCGTAACGCAACTGTAGCGCGAGGATAACTAAAATTAAAATTGTCGAAGGTATTGACGAGTTTTTTAGTTCGCAAACTAAGCAAACTTTAGGTTTTACTCTACAGAACGTTTTCACACGTAGAGGAACAAGAAAACTTTTCGTAGTCGTTCATTACCATATAAACATTGCTAATTATGAAGAGCATAAAGAAGGCATAAAACGCAGATTTGAAAATCATTTATCTGCCCGAAAAAATGTACTTACAAACAGGCTAGGTGACGACAGTATCAGTCAAAGGAATTTATAACGCTTAAAGGTTACACTGTCAATTGATAAAAACAAAGTATATTAGATATTTAATTATTTTGTAAACTCCGTCAGACAAAGAAAAAAAAAAGAACTATCGGAACACCAATCTTCTGGTCTAGAGGAAAAAGATTAGCTCACTTCGACTGTTTTGCCTTTCCCCGCTTGTGCTTTTCCTTTTCAATCCAAAATGCATGTATAGCTTCCTGATTCCCCAAAAAATTTGCATTACTCGTAATCATGGAGATTTCTTTAATTTTGCGCCATATTCAGTTTGTCAAAAAGCACGCTCCCAGCCCAATTTGCATCGCAATTTAAATCTGTACCTTAGAAGTCAATTTAACTGAAAAGGAATACCGAAAACATTAAATTAGCTTGCCTTTGGTGCTAAAAGAATTTCAGCTCTTCAGTTTGGGAAAATAAGCGCATGTTTCGATAATGTCATTGGACTGGATAATTGTGTACATTATAGCTTCTTCCTTAGCTTTCGTGGCTGGAATCAGTGGGGTAATATGGGCTGCGTGTATCTGCACGAAAAGGTGAGAAAATAAGTAACCTCTCTGCTCTCGAGGCCTGAAGAAACGTCATTCTCTGGATGATGTTCTTTAAAATCAAAGCCTGACCGTCCAGCAGTAACTTTAGATTAAAAAAAGGGACTTTCAGCTCTTTAGAAAAACATATTACACCTGGAGAGCAACCTTCAATAGCATTCCAATTACTCATTTTTAATAAAATAAGCAGTAGAAACTTGGAAAATTTTTGTTTACTTGCAATGTGTGAGCACATTAACAAAAGATTCTGCAAATTAGCACTAGCAAAAGGAGTAACAAATTTCGGATTAAAAGCTCGTTGCACAATTTGTCAAAACGAAACGATTAAGTGACTAGTCGTGTTCAGATCACTTTGCATCGTATCCAAATAAAATTTCCTCTTAAACTGCGCCAAACCAAGTTGCATGTAAATTTCGACAAGCAAAAGAGGAGGGGGTGAAGAGGGAGTGGAGGGAGTCGATACGCTCGAGACCAGCAAAATTCCAATCCCACATACACATACATAAGTTTATTTCAGAGTAGCATGGTGGTGTTAGTTTCTCCGAACAAAGAAATTATCTTGGTAAATAATAAGTCTAATTTATTGAAAACACTCATTCAATTCCATAGTTATGTTTCAAGAAATAAAACTAATCAAATGTATCAGAATAAGATAAATAAAAATTACTTGTTGCTTAGCAATAAAATGATCGATAATATTCACAGGAAGTATTCCGAAAGTCTCAAATACAAATAATTTTTAAATCTTTGAGAGCTCGGACATATTCATCGAAATCGCTCCATCTTTTTGCTACAGAATATTACAGGCAGAATAATAACATAACAATACTCAACTTCCTTAGTGTTAATTTGTTTTAAATGGTGAAAGAGTTCATATTTATTGCCGTTGAATACGAGCCATATTTATATACAATCAATAGGCTCTGAAAAAATGTTTACGAGTTCTTCCTCTGAGATCAGCTTTAAAAAAATGCGAAAAATTGCTTGCTTGATTTTTTTCCTTTTTTGCTAGTCACCACAATGTTACGACACGGTGAGGAATTCCTACTATTTCTTTGTGTTTACCAGATGATTTTGCTTAACTATCTGTTTTTACCTTAATTTTCGATGAAGTGTTTTACTTCCTTTCACTTTTTCTTTTTATTCTCTCTCAGCCTAGTAGTTATAAGCCTCTGCTGTTTTTAATAAATAATTAAATTCTTCATCTTCTTCCGAGAACCCAGAAACAATACTCTCGAACCGTTGTAACAAGTCATCCCGTCTCCTACGTAATTTACGGAGAGAAAACTCGACGACGTCCTCTTGAAATCTTACTTTCTTTTTTTCTCTACGTTTGCTGCCGTCAACATTTCTTTCACCTTTCAGAGATTTTAACATGTTGCTTATCTTGTCGAACAAAGATTGTCTCCTTGTGCTGCATTGCTGTTTATTTATTATTTCTCTGGATCTTTTCTCCCTCCAAGCTATGATAGCTTGACTTATTAAATCAAAGTTGAGATTGGAACTGTTCTTGGAGTAAAGGCCAACGTTTTCTGATTCTTTGTCCTTTGCTTCTGCTGACTTTTTGGAAGTTCTCGGCTGTTTCAATGTATTACTGATTGCATCGAAAAGTTCTTTTCTTTCTTTTGACCTCGACCAACGACTCTCATCAATAAGTTCATACAGCTCACTTTCGCTCACATTATTCTTAGCATCCAAAAGAGCATCGTTGATCATGCCGATAAAGAAGTTCATGCAGAGGACAGTGAGAGTGAAGAGGATTAAAAAGGCGAATATTTTGGCATATATGGTACTAGCCTCAGCTAGTTCATTGATTGGTCTAGCTTTCACTCGACCAAGAGTTAGCTCGAGCTGGAAATAAACTCCTTTCAGCAGCGAAGAGTAGCGCTCAGATACAGAGCCAAACATCAAGACACCAAAATGCAAAAAAGCCACAAAGAAAATCAATAAAACAATACTAAAGGATGACAAAGATCGTGCAGATATTTTCAATGTTTTGGAGAATAGAGCGACATAGCTGTTGAAGCGAATGATTCGCAAGAGCTTGGTAGTGACGATGAAAATAAGAATTCCAAGTACGACAATTTCCACTTCTTGGCAAGTGATAGCTTCTTGGAAACTTAGATTTGCGTAAATGTTTTTATGCAGTTTACCCATAGTTGAAAGGGTTTTACTTTGTCGTATAACGTACATTACCACAGCAAACAGAGAAAAAACAATTTGGAAGATCTCGACCCAGTTCCACACGGACTTGAAATATCGAGAGCGATGATTATAAAGCCTAAACATTTCTCTTCCAAAATACAGAAAAACGAATACAATGTACAGAAACAAGCAAATCAAATAAAACTGATGCGAAGGTGCGGTTGTAGAATCAAGTGAAAGAACACGAGTTTGCACAGAGGCTGCTTTCAGTCCAGATGCATCAACTTCATAGAAGTATGTGGCAACACCTAAAATATTTACCGACGGATTGAATGTCGAAAACTCTGCCAGGACAACTCTGGTTTGCCTGTCAACCCAGCCGTTGTCTTGTAAATTTGTTACTGTACTGAATGCCGTATGGCTATCATAGCCGAGGTCTGCTACAAATCCTCCTCCATCATAAAAGGAGAACTGTCCCCACCTGGGTGTAGTGTCGGTTTCCTCGGCATTTTGATATCGCCATGGCTTCGGGCAAGGTTGTAATAACTCGTCATTCCTAGTAGCATTGTCAAAAGGCATCCAGCCTGGTTTGGTGTAGGCTGTCTTTTCTTCGTTCTCTGTCGAGTATCCCTTGAAACATTCTTCGAACAATGTTTCCATATAGTTGAGGACTTTACATTGTGCTGCAAGTTGGAAAACAAAGGATCATGATCAGGAAGTTGGAAGTTTGTTTTGGTATTAATTTCACTCAACAGTTTCTCATAGTGCGTACTTTTAAATAGACATAGACATTTCTGTTATAGAGAACTAAAGTTGCCTAAGAAGTCTTCAAAGTTTGCCCACGGGGCAGAGGAATGCCGTCCATTAAAACCCAAATTTAACGTTCATAAAAAAATGCAGCTACCTAATTATAAACTCTTTTCCAAATAATTGTTACAATGGTCAGCAGCCGAGAAATTTGTCTCCGGTGCATTTTCAATATTGTTCTTTAGGAATTTCAGTGAACTATTGTTAACTCTATACTTAAGGTTGGACAGTGATCGCTTCTCTATCAGACTCAACTATAAAAGGTATAATAATTTGAGTGAGTAAATGAATAAAAGTAGGAAAAACTTACTCGATCTCACTCTGAGTTGCCTTATTCGTGCCATTCCAATGAGAAGAGAGCGTTTATTACCAATGTAAATTGTTCGGTTTTCCTTTTGGCCGTTGTACCATCTGCCGGAAAACACTCCCGGAATGAAAACACGCTGTAACCACCACCAGTACATTGTGTTGTTTTTCACCTGAATTAATATAAGATTATTGGGCTGTGTATATATATATATATATATATATATATATATAAATATTATGAGAGGAAAAAAGGACGCAACTACATTTCCCATTTCTACATTTCTACATTTTAAGGGAAATGTAGTTGCGTCCTTTTTTCCTCTCATAATATTTATTCTGCTCTGCTTCAACGTATTGAGCACTGTTCCACGCGAAAATCGACTTGCAGACTTCCTATTTATATATATATATATATATATATATATATATATATATACATACATACATACGTACATATATATATATATATATATATATATAGACAGATAGATAGATAGATAGATAGATAGATAGATAGATATAAACGTATTTAAGTAGTTAGAAAAAGTGGGTTCTGGTGCATTTTGAAAAACATCTTGATTTCAAGTCAACTCATGAATTTTTTAGCCTTAAAATCAAGGTTGATTTCAACCTTGATTTAAAAAAAAAACACTTCTGACGCATTTTAAACAACCCCGATTTCAAGGCAACTTGAATTTTTAACAGGTGAATAATATTCACATTGTCTCACCAACGACTTCTGAAGAGGATGTGAATATTATTCTCTCGAACGATTCTCTTAAACGATTCTCTGAACGATTCTCTTGTCGCGCCACCGAGGTGTTACATCATGAGCAGTTGCCGCAAAAATTCCCTCAGGGGATTCGCCCAAGTCCGAGATTATGACTCCTTCCTGATTTATTAACTTATGTTTGAAAATACGTTTTTCTAAGTAAATCGGTTGCTTTTCAAGATTTCAGATTTTTTTTTACAAAAACGCTAAGCTGAATGTTTGAATTCAGTTTCGTTAAATACAAGTAAAATCGATTTTTATCGGCCTCTGACGATGGCCGGGAAGTAATCTTAGGTTATATCAATTTCACTCACTCGGGTATAAGAATTTTAATTTTTCGATCAAACATTGGTCTTATACATTTTGGCATAGAAAGCATATAGACGACAGTGTGACACAACAAGATCATTTTTATAAATTAAAAATATAACTCTGCGGTTAAGCGTATAAATTGAATTCACTTGCTTTCTTTGTCTCACGCGTGGGATTTTTTTCTTTATTATTTTGAAACACTAGTTTGTTTAAGAAATCCTCAGTGTTTTCCATCATAAAATCTTTCGCATCGGGGTAATAATCAATGGTTCTTTCGATAAATCTCTTATAAACGGCTTACAAATTGCGGGGTGGTTGCTCTCGCGGTGGACGTATCGTAGTGTCTCTCGGTGTGGCTTTTCAAACGCCACACCGAGAGATACAGAAAACGTCAAAAAAGAAATATGCCACATCTTTAATCACAATGAACTACGGATCACCATCGAAGCCAACAAACAGACCATCAATTTCTTAGACGTCACTTTCAACCTGAACAAAAACACCCACCAACCCTTCCCAAAGCCCTACACCACACTACGATACGTCCACCGCGGCATCCACGCACCAACCACCACAAAGGACATACCCGCCGGCATCAACAAGACTGTCATCCCTTTCATCCGACAAAGCATCTTTCGGCGAAGCCGCTCCACCAAAAAAAAAGCACTCGACGAATACTGATACCGTTACACTCTACACTACGAACCACCCACAACTAACAAATGAAAAAACAGACAACGGAACAACATACTCTGATAGAACCTACCATTCAGCAAAAACGTCAGCACCAATATCAGACATAGATTCCTTGCCCTAATAGACAAGCACTTCCAGAAAGACCGCAGACTTAAAAAAGTCTTTGATCGTAACGCAATCAAGATCAGTTACAACTGCATGAATAACATTCAACAGATCATCGACAACCGCAACAAATGCATTTTAAATTCATCCAAAAAACACATCAATGACACCGCAGATAACACCAACACAAAAGACACCAAAACTTGCAACTTCCCAAAGAAGAAAACATACCCACTTAACGGAAACTGCCTTCAGTCACCACAAATCTACTAAGCAACCGTCACACGTTAGGACAACAGCACCAATGAAACATATATCAGACTTACAGAAAAACGACTGCAAGACTAGATATAGAAACTGTACCGCATCATTCCGACACACAAAACACAGAAACTCTATCGAACTCAGCAAACATATCTGAACCCTTAAAGAAAATAACATGGACCATTTTATTTCATGGCGCATCCTTTCATCTAGATCACCCTTCAACAGCGCAAGCAAAAGATGCAACCTCTGCCTCAAAGAAAAATTACCCATCATCTGCCAACTTGAATTATCATCACTCAATAAAGGTAATGAACTCGTGTCCGCATGCCGCCACAGAAACAAAGCGTTACTGCGTAACAATTGAACAAAGCATTGAAATTTACCGCCACGCCTATTATGCAAATTTGTAAAGTATATAAACGATGGTACGAATATTCTCAGCAATACAATCCCCTGATGAGAGAGTAATCACGAAACAGGCTTGCAGGGATGAAAGTATAGTCTCTTTTTTTCCGTATCTCAATATATATTGCGCTCTACTTCTACGTATCGAGCACTGTAAAACGGAAAAATCAAAACACAGACTTCCCCTATATATATTTATATAAGAAGTCTGTGTTTTAACTTTTGATTATATATACATATATATATATATATATATATATATATATATAATAGACATTATACAATATATATATAGTCACACAAACAAGTTAGTATATATGGGCCTATCGTAGACACTGTTGTAGACTATTATTCCCAAGTGCTCATTCCCATTGCACCCATCCCCTCAAATATAAGGTTTGTGTGAGTTGCTATGGTAGAATTGAATGCCAATCCAATCTCTTCATGGAATTATACTACTATCGCTTGAAATATCTCTCCAGTCCTGAGTTCGGGTCTTACACCCTAACATATCTCTGTTGCTCTGTTTATAAAGAGATATTCCTACTCAAAATGTCGATTACAAGACCAGAAAATGCCTCAGTCAATCACCGAATGTCTTTATAGAAGAAAAAAGAAACCTTGAGGAGGCCGGCAAAGTAAAATTTCCCCTCATATACTCGATTTTGAACCCCCATAGGAATGAAACACCGTAAGATGAATCAAACCCGGGAATTTCAGCAAAGGATTTATCATAACAAAATAATGTTTACTCACCTTGCCGAAGTTTTGTAGTCCATCTCGGATTGATTTTGTCATCAAGTACCGATGGTCACTTCTGTTTCCATAGCACACTGCCAGAAGTAAGAAAACGAAGACCAAGTATAAACCCAATTCTGTGAAATAACGCGTCACGTTCTGTTTCTTAGCTTGTCGTCTCCTCATCTTTTCCACTTCTGAAAATTCCAGTGCCCAAATATTTTTCTTATTGTACCCAGCTTTAACTTGCTGAGGGCTTTCGCAGGCGTGTACTTTTGATCTCATCGCCTTTATCCTTAAAATGGCCGCGACAGTTAAAGCTGTGAAGAACACCTTTACTGGTTCCTTGATTGTTACGTCCTACGCAAATGAGATAAGCATCGAAGACAGCCATTGCTCGCTGACAATCTTTTCCCAAATAAGGCTGTAAAAAATTGTAAACGCAGCCGAAACAAAACAAGAAAAAAGCAACAAACACCAAGAGATACCACTGATCAGGGTACCTTTATGACAATAGCCATTGTTCGTCACAGACTTTACAGCCCCTTTCTGAAACAGTAACACTATGACAATGTTTATGGGCGTCACAACAAGCGCGCTTTCAATTCCAGTCACCACTTGTCTCCACGACATTTTCAGCGGTCCGACTTGGATAGGCTGTTCATATTTGCCTTCTAACTTATAGAACATCGCGTTAGCAAACATGGATGTCAAAAGCACTGAGAGGCAGCAAGAAAGCCGCTGTACTCTTGTAAAGCGGCTTCTTCTTAGCTTGGCTGCTACTGAAATCCAAATATGCCCTTCTGCGAGGCCTCTTCGCCAACGTCTTGCAACTTCATCGCCAAAATCCAGATGATTTGAGGTCTTCTCGATTATTCGCTCGATGCGCCCGTCACCGCGCTCAAGAGCAAACCACTGACTGGCCAAGAATTTCCAACACTGCCTGGATTGTACATCCCGAATCAGAATTTCCTCTAAGTACCACGAGGGATTATCTCCAAAATTATCATGCCCAATCTGCACTCTTTGAATCGAATCAAGTGATTTGGTAACATAAAGTACAAAAACATCTGAATTACCTCGAGAGAATAACACATCAACTGCAGCAGGCTCTTCTTGGCTAAGCTGAAGAATGCCACTCTTTCCTTCAGAACCGTATATCTCCAAAGCTACATGAGCAGTCGTGCCTGAGTTTTTCCAAGCCCCAGTAGTAATCACTATAATATACTCATATGTGCTACTTGAAGATGATGATGGAAGTTGGATCGGTAATTTCCTCTAAAAAAACATAATAAAGTATGAACTATTCACACGGCTAGCTAATGTATATTCTTAATTCGCTTTTTTGTCCCTTTCCGAAAAAAAAATCATGGTAAACCCTGAAAACGGTTTAATTTAATTGACTGTCACTTCACTTTTAAATTTTAATTTTTTTTAGGATATGTTAAAAGCGTTTAAAAGTTAAAATCTCGATCTCAACAAACCTTAAAAGCGAATAATGTCGTCAACATTAAAGCCTTTTCCTCCTAGCCCTTTAACCCCTAGAAGTGATCAACATGTAATTTCTTCAACAAACATCCGCCTATTATCCAGGAAACAGTTATTCAGACTTATCAAATAGAAGTTGGTATCTTGATATAATATATGGATTTAGCCAAGCCTAAAAGCGGAGCTCGCATCTTTTTTTCCCACACGTCACAACGTCTTGCCCCGGCCAGGACTAGCCCCCCGGGTCGTCCGACTCGGAGCCCAGTGCACTGACCACTGGACCACTGAACAAAGCCGTGGTATTGGCGCGCCCGCGGTACATTTGACCGCGCATGTTAAAAGAAGCACCTTGTACGGTCGTACGGTCGTACATCCAAATTTTGTCAGCTTGATGGGTTACTACTATTTTGTATAATTATCGGGCTACGCTCTGCGAGCTCCACTATTAGCAAATGGTCATTACTTATTTTACAAGAAAATTTATAACAGCTGGAGGGGAGAATTGACACCCCGAGTTTGAGAGTGAAAGAGCATGTCCCGTGAAAACAATGGTCCTAAGCAAAATCCGGGTCGACACTTACATTTTTCGCGTCTTCTTTGTCGAATTTCCTTACGATAACAAACATAGTTGTATAACACAATAAAACCACCACAATAGCCACAATTACAGCGATATTTCCAGTTTCTGGTAACTGCTGGAACTCGACTAGAACCTTGTCGAAGTCAATAGGATTCGGTTCAACTGAAAGATTTCCCCCAAATGATGTCAGGTGGCTACAGCTACAATTTAAGAATCCATCTAATTCTGCTAAAACCTGGAATTATAAAATGCAAGGAAGATATTATTAATAAAAATAATCATTTTGGCTGTCACCATTAATCACATTGTATGTTTTCTGTTTTAAGGCGCTGATAAGCCCCGGCTGGTTATCAAATCGATTCGACTTTTGTCTGAAAATGTTCTCTAATCAAAGATTAGCCTGAATGCAATAACGAACCTAATGAGTAAAGATTATTACAATCGCACAGTAATTTTTGCGAATATTACTCAGGAAAGCTCCAAGTATCTGAACTGTGTTAAATACAATGTTAAATTTAGAAAACAGATTGTCCTGAAGATCGTTATATAATTTTTCACTTACCCGACAGCCAGATGATATCCACTTGTCAAATTTTTCTGACCAGTAAACACAACTACCTAAGACCACCTTCAGAGTGTACTTCTGGTCTGTTGTGGAATCATAAACTGGCATCACAGAGACATTTTCACCCTGGGGTGGGGTGGGTGGTGGATCTTTGACTTCGACGCAGGAACGCTTTCTTCGCCTTCCTCCAAGACAAGACCTTTTATCTCTTTTGTGAGATAAATTCACTGTGGCGTTGTAATTTTTTAAGCCAAGAAAGTATTTCCCGGGACGCTCAGCAAGTACTTGTATCGGTACATGAGGATTCAAGGAGCAGACCGTTTGTCCTTCACTTTCGTCATGTGCACTTAGCATCCAAACACACTTTTCGTCATGAGAGATAGTGGCATTGAGGTCGTAGTCTTGAGATGTTGGCCGCTGACCAAAACGCATATATGCAAACAGATATACGTTTGGTTCTTGAGGGTTGATTTCCATCATCAGCAAGGTGTTTCCAAATCTAACCTCTATCTCGTGAAAAAGTAAATTGTCATTCTTTGTGAAATACTTTGCCTTTTCCGTGAAGTTTTTCCCAGGTTTCAAAGGTGTAATGATGACGATGTCTTCCGAGAGATTTGATACTTTAATTAGCTCTCCTTTGTTGTTTTTCAGCTGCAGGGTTACGACATCAGAGTCAACTCGCTCCTTTGAACTATCCCAAGTGTAAGGGTTAAAAGAAAATGACAGCATCTAAAAGAAGAACGATTGAAAATTTTACTTGTTTGATTTTATTGGTGAACTTCCAAACTGAACACAAACAAAGTATTCGGTGTCACTACTAATCATAAGTTGTCATAAGTCAAGGGCAAAATAAAACTGAAAATATATTTTTAAAACAAAAAAAAAAAAATTATATTTACGTGGTCTCTTAATATGAAATATTTTCATTGCCAATTTTTTGAAACCAGAATGTAAAACGACGAAAATGGCTAGTAGGAGATCTGATCCTGTTATCAACTCAGTTGTAAGGTTTATTTAAGGAGATGTTAAGAAAATCAAGCTTGATTCGACTCTTTTTGCCGTTCCAAGTGCCAGAGTCGAACATGCCAAAAGCAAGACAAGAATATGATTGCTGAAGGTAATAGGAAACTTTTAAGGTACCCAATGTGTTACTTTACTTGACTGGGGTCGGTATCTGCTGAAATAAAACTTGGATTTAAATTTTCCTTTAGGGCGTGAATACCTACCTGAACATCTACGAAACTTGTTATGTTTACTCCAGAGAGTAACAATTGGCCATTAGACGGTAAGATAAACTGGCCTTTTCCTGCTTTTATTTCCAGTCCTGAGAGTCTCTGGATGCTATATCTTCCGAGTGTCATGGATAGTTGTCCTACTGTGATTGGTATGGTTCTTTCATCAGGCACTGTCAGGGCCAACACTGAGTCTGCAACTTTCTCGAGGGCCTTCATTGAAATCTTCACCAATATCTTACCCTGTAGAAATTGCATAAAATAAACAGAGAATATAAGCAAGTTATGGATTTTCGCAAGCTTGAAACAAACAAACAAACAAACAAAGTTCCAAAATCTGAATGACAAAGGGAATAACGGTGAAGTTAATAGCAATCTGCAATGGACCATTCGCCAATGAAGAAATTCTAACAATTATGCTTGCATGCATAAATAAGTTTTAAAAGTCTATTTAATTTTGACTTTACGACACCACCTAAATTTTCATTACAGCACCTGTTGTTGAAAACTTGACTTGAAGTCCTCTGATGCAATCACTGCTGCCGCCTTCAGAGCGTAATTTAGACACAAAGCCAAGTTTTCTGCTGATTGGGTTGTCAGCTGTATGTCTGTTACGTCTTTTTCCTGGGCGAGAGACCACAGGAGTGACGTCATTGAGCTGATAGCAGATAAGGAGATATTCTGTGGAGTGCAAATGAATATAAATGGAGATGCTTACTTTCAGATTTATTTCCTTTTACCTTTGTAGGAATAATTTGTGGTTAAGTAGTTAAAGTGAGTACTTTGCAGTTGTCGTCATTGCTGTTGTTTCTTGAGCCTTTCTAGTTAAATAATGTCATGGTATGAAAACTTGACGTAACAACCATAGCTTTTCAAGCCCCAATCAACATGACGGGATTAACCTACCAGAGACTGGTGGGGCACTTTCTCCAAAACCTGAAGAGCAGAACCGATAACTGATGAACTTTGAAGCAGTTCGGAGAAAGTTGTCGCTTCCAAGGAGGAAAAGCTTTCAAGGATGTAGTTCATAACCTTGAACAATGATAAACATATCAGCTTAATGTTATTTTAGCCAGTAAAGAATTAGGCAAACAGACTGTATCCTGCATAAGGAGGATCGTTCCAAAGATAACACATCTAAAGGCATATTTAGACGCAACGTATCAGGTTTCCCACTAAAAATTGCTAATTAAAACCCATCAAAATGATGTTTGCAAGCGCATGATTGGTCTAAATGCATCAAAACACCAAGCTGAAACGAAGGAATGCCTTGTGATTTCCGCCCATGAAAAATATTTTCAAACCTCAATTTCAAAAGTTGTAAGTATTCGTTTAAAATTTAATTCGTTCTTCACTCGTTACAACGAAAGAAAATAGTTTGCTCACACTCTCAACCCGCGAGAATTAACAATGGAAAATGAACATCTCAGTGACATTGAAGCCAAGACTCTCGCGCTGCAATAATATCAGATATTAAACACGTAAGCCTCCATTTTTCTCAAAAATATGTTCCTGTATTTAGTGTATTAAATTTTTCTGTTCTTCGGAATTTGATTTCTTTTGTTATCTTCTTTTTTTAATTACAAATTATCTATTCTTTTTTTTGCATGTTTGGCTCTTGGTACGCTCTTTGCTTTTTGGATATGATCATAACGAACTAGTTTTATTTCACTTTTTAAGTAACAAGTTAGGTTTTAAAAGTACCTTGTATCTCTCCTGCAATTCAATTGAGGTTTCTTGTGAAACTGATAGCAGGACAGAGTTTGCTATTAGTGCCGCTTTCCTCAGGTTTCTGCTCCTGATGAATTCATCGAATAAACTGTAATTTGCCATTAGAAAGTTTGTGATAGCATCGGGTCTTTCTTTCTGAGATGGCTTGATCTGCAAAAGTCAAAAGCGAGAATCTATGACTATAACTAATCTATATCTAATAGGGACCAAAAGAAATTGAAATATTCTCACATCCTTTCATGCTATACATTAAATTAATGGTTAGCGACCTACATGAACTGTCAAAGGGATTGGGAAAGCAGAAATTCCAAAATTGTCAGTCACTGTAGCGTTAAACTTGACAGTAAAGTTATCTGCATTGTTCCCAGGCGGTATCCAAGAGGTTCTTATGGTGTTGTTAACGCCACGATACAACACATTGTACAGACCGTTCTCTAGCCTGTATTGAAACTGGTAGGTCAGAGGGGTGTTGTCACTTTCCCAGTTGCTACAGCTCAGATTGAAATCAGTCTTCAGTGAGATGCCGCTTGGCGGAGTGATCGAACAGTTCCCCCCTGTAGGAGGTATCGCTATAACGAAATCGTAAGCATTCATTCCCTTTAAACCGTCCGTAGTTGTAATTATTAGTGCCAAGCGGTACTTATTTCCACTAGTAAGGGAACCTTCTTTGATAACAATGTCACTTGAATTCAGCGGTGTACTTGTGATGAGTCGTAGATTATGTTTCCTTTTCCAGTTAAAGGACATGTTTTGCTTAAATTGCTGGTAGAGCATCCACTCATAGGAAGATATTTTAGAGCACTGTAATCCGCGGCATTGTGATTCGATGCTAAGTTTGACCGAGGGAATCACTTTAGTGTGGCAGTTAAAGAAACATCTAAAAAGAAGCAAAAAAGATTGGGCGAACACTCAGTGAAGAAAGGGTTTTGAACTTCCGTTATTTGGTGAGAGCATGCATCTAAAAAGAACAGCTGCAGCAGTGGCTGCAATTTAACATTGATATGAATGACTGTTAATGAAGCTACAACAACAGTAACAACCAGAACGACAATGTTAACCATAAATATATCATTAGTAGCAACCACAAATTATAAAAAAAAACGACGGCGGCAGAAACAACGAAAATTAACGAAACCAGAAACAAAACAGGTAGAAATGGACGACAGAAGCATCAGTAGTGAAAATAATGAGCAAGAGCAAGGTAAAGAACAAATATAGGTATTAAAGATGGCAACAAAAACAGCATTAAAAACAAACCAAACAAACTAAATAACAGAAAAAAACAAAGTAGACCCCTAACCTTTGATATATTTCTGGGGGATCTCCTTTTATCAAATGAACAACTTGATAAACGGTGGAAATACGACTGTCCTTGGTCACTACCAATTTAATTATGTAGGTCTGATTAAGAGACAAAGCTTCGGTGTTTAAGGAAATTTGTTCGCCAGATGCTTTTCCGAAATAATGGATGGCTGACTCGTTCACGGCCGTAAAGAATCTTTTTCTCCCTTTCGCGTCCGCTTGTTTGCTGGAGTGATTAGCTATGATTATGCCATAATGCCAGGTGAATTTCATTCCTGATTGGTTGCCATGTGCAACTTCTGGGTCATACGATAGTGAGGCATTCAGTGTGATGTTTTTCTGGAGTCCTCTTGTTACTTCTGCGCCCCCAGAAATGACCGCCACAAGGTCAGGTTTTCTTTTGCTTAACTTCGCGTCTAAAATAACGTTGTTAAAATAAATCAATAAATCAAACAAACAAACTTAGCTTAGTTACGAAAAAGGCGAATTTCTCTGTTCTTATCAGTTTAACCCTATTTACGATTTTTTTGTTACATCGTCGACATGGAAGAACTTTTGACCGATGCTTTTCATCAAACCCTCAATACATAAAAGATGTACGCTTTAGGAGCCATTTCGAGCAGTTTCATTATCGTAAAGCTCGACAATTACTTCTAGTATGTTAACCCACGATTCGATTTCAAGTGAGTCGATTCGCAAACTACCGTAGACGTGTCGATTAAGATTGGGTGTATTGGTCATGTATGGGTTATTGTTAAAGAGGTTGAAAAGTTTTTTGATGGAAGCCTCTCAGAAGGAGTTGTGGGAACATGTTAACATGAAATACTGTAATAGATTTTATTGATTGATCTGAAAAATTATTCATTTGACCATCCATTAGGACTTTCTTTGGTTCACGATAAAAAAAATTAACATAAAAGGTTTGAAAATACTTGGGTACCGGTCAACTCAATGCAATAAATCAGTTTATACATTGCACTGTCCATTTTGTCTTCCAAGCCAGTAGATTTAGAGAAAATTCCAATGAAGAAAATTATTATTTAAGCCTGGAAACTATCACTGTGAAAAGCCCTGCTAGACTGCTGTTATATACTCATTCTTATAATCTAGTTTCAGGAAGAATAGGATACTTCATGAAATCTGTAGATTTCATGCATAAGCTGTGCACAAAACTTAGGTTTGACGGTAGTCCCAACCCCTACACCATAAAGCTTGTCGTATGTACAAATCAATTCCGATAGAAGAAAAAAATTTTAAAAATTTCGAACTTCAAAACTCGGTTTTTTCAGGCCCTAAAGTGCTCTTATTTTGTCGTGAAAGTGTCCCGTGGACTGGTAACGAGCTAGCGGGTGATGACGTAGAAAACTGTGAAAATTCTCCGTTGATAATCACAAATCTCTCACATCTCTTGTAATTTTGTATCAATCGGTGTCGAAATACTTTTGAAATAATGTCAGATAGCGACGTATACCTACCTTCAGCAAGCTCTACCGAGAGTTTTGATGCAGCGTACCCAAGTAATACCCGGTGTTCAGGTCAGGATTAGAACAAAAAACTCCTGTTACTGAATTTATTTTGTTGCGTTTTGTTTGCTATGGCGGAATTTTTTCAAAGAATGGTTAGCTGTGTTCGTCTCTGTTGACATTTTCAAAATGTATTCCTTCGCACTGAGTGTGGCGAAGGTTTGATCAGTGCTTTGGAGTTTCATTGATGTAGAGTACTTCCTCAGCGGACCAAAAGCTAACTTCTAGCGAAAGAATCAGCTTTGGCACGAGGCACGATAATTTTTCGGCGAGAAGTCGTCGGGCCGTTTCAACGCAAGTTGCTCCTTTCCTTAGAGATTGCAAAAGGCAGATCGGGAAGCTATCGTCGTCGAGCCGGTCAAAAGGAAAACGAGTGAGTTTACGGTCATCTGATTCAAGTTAATGTGCATCGACTTTCACAAATCACTTGGATTCGCTAACATCTAATTCAATAACATTTGTTTCTCTATTTATCTCGTTGCAGTGCTGTTATTACATTTCCATTGCTACTGTTGTTACTTTTAGTTTCTTGAAGGTAGGGGGAATTGATGGCTTGTGTGATGGATTTTGGGAAACTTAGGTTAGGAGATTACACGGCCCCATTGAGCTTGTGTTTATGCCAGCTGGTATCTGCCAGAGGTTTCGCACTGTTTACGTAACAGGATATCGGTCAATTCAGGAAAAGACTTGAATTTTGTTACAAATTGTGTATTTCTGGTAAAAAAATACGATGGAAACTACAACTGGCAGGATTTTCATAGGATTTATAAACGCTCCTGGTCCTTTCACGTGATAGTCATGTGGAAGGACAAGGAGTAAGAGTACATCTCAAGCGCGTGAAACAATCAACAATAAGGAGCTCACCATTCTTCGCTTACGACATGTCAGCCGAAAAGAGTGTTGAACAATCGTTTACGGTGTGGGAACAGGCTCCTTAATCAGCATTCTTTTTAGCTTATGCGTTCGTAACAGCCGTCTTCGAAGCCGATACGGAGCATAAGGCCGATGTCATTGAAGAGTAAAATCTGCCCGATGTCGACGATTGAAACGCGTCCAATTGGCCATAAAGTCACGTCCTTTGGAAGGTAATGTATAAAAATACCCGGTATATACGGGTATGTATCATTCTTGTAGCTGACTTCATTTGCCACTCTGGCCATGCAATACGTTCGTCCTTTCTTCTAGGTTTCTCCTTCCCCAATAAAGTTGCCGACGTCACAACGATGTAACATGATCGTTTTGGCCGCGCGCTTACTGGGGACACCTTTTGGGCGCCAAATCGTACTTTCAATGCACAAAAAACTTGTTAAGGAGAACTCGATGGGCGTTAAGTTCCATTAGTTCTAATTTTAAAAACAGCTATCAACCAGAAAAGGCAAAAAAAAAATTTCGTATCATTCGTACTTTGAATAGACTTGTAATAACTAATGACAATTCAAAGAATATAAAATTTGGTTGAAAAATTAGAATTCATGATGGGCTGGAAAAATAAAATTAAAAAAAATAAGTATATACTCATACAGTTTACTTTAGCGGAAAATCCAAGCGAAATATTCGCTGCATTTAACAGCTTTTCACAACACCTACATGTACCCGTGCGCATGCATGTAAGACTTTAATGTTGACAAAACTCGTACTCATGAAAATTTCGTAGAGACCTGTAGTTCGCACAACTTATAAAAATTCTGAAGCGAATAAATTTTTTTTAACAACCTGCTTCCTTCAGTTGTGCTCCAGAAACATTATATGGTGTAGAATCAAAGAGAAATGAAGAAAGTTATCGAAGCATTCCATTTTAAAAGATAGTTCATAAGGATGCTGATTCAAAAACATATCTCAGCCTAAACTAAAATTACCTTTTCATACAAACAAACCATGATGAAACATAAGCAATTAATAAATCCAACCCAGTTTGAATGTAAAATCCAAAATCTAACTAACCTGAAGATGAATAGGAAAAACCGAAAAAATATCACAGGCCAATCACCAATAAGAACAAATGTCTGTATAGACACTTCAGTGTGATTTTTTTGATGTTGTGTGCTTTTTCTTGCAACCATCTATTTATAGTATCTTTAAGTCAGTAAAATTTCATAAGCAATGTTTTACTAGCTGACATCTGAGAAGTCTACCCTAGTAATTTGACACATTCCAGGAAATGAATTGTCTTCTCTCAAGTCCAGAAAGAAGCTCAGTTTTATCCCAGAACTTTCTTAAAACTTAAATGTGTTCGAATATGCAAAGAAAAACAGACGCCTGCCGCTAGTTTACGGAATGTGTTATTGTAAAAAATTTCACCACGGGAAATAAATGAGAATTTGAAACGAAAGCAGGGATAAAAACCAGTCTGCCGTCGTTAACCATGCAACGTTAGCTTACGGTATGGTTTCTTGATCGAACAGAAAATTTTCCATGAAATGCGATATTTTTATTTTGATTAATTGGTGATTTCTGAAAGCGTTCTGCAAGCCCCAAATTGAATAAAATGGTCCCGTTTTAGACTTAAACCATTCGTCAATCTCACCGATACAAATTTATCAAGTAGATGCGAACCTCCTTTTTTTGCGTCTTTCATGAGCAAAGTTCATTTGCCTCTACTCGGGGCACTGATTTCCACCATTTTACGGCTACCGACGTTCGCTTCAGTTTTCGCGAATTTTCTAGAATAAAGAAGCAAATCTGGGAGGAAAACTTTATCACGTTTCTAAGTTCACTGTACGGTACCTCTGACTGAAATATGAGGGTAGTCATTTTCGGTCGATGTGCCAGTCCTCACGCGGTCTTGAAAAAAAGTTGCTCTTAACTATTGATGCCAAAAAATTTGAGGGGCAAATAAAATGTGTACAATTATAAAAGACATTATGTAATCAGTTTTAAATATGTTGAGTATTACTTGAATATATTATTGCGGTAAAACACCAATGAATTATAAACTAAAGCTAATATCAAACGACGATGGATAAAAAAGTTTTGAATTTTTCCTGAGCTTAACTTAAAAGAAAACTCAGATAAGAATCAACTTCCTTCCGGGCTCTCCTTTTCGGTTCCTTTGTGCTTTGCTTTTTCTTTGTTGTAGACTTTTTTTCAGTCTTTTTTTCTGAAGCTTTTTTCTTCGTTCTCGTGCCACTCTTCGTTAGATAATCTCCGTTTTACATCAGTCTTTTTAAGTCATTTTTGGCGTTCCTCTCGTTCCTCTTGCCGTTTAAATACCAAGAATCAATAAGCTTTCAACTATGAAATATTCAGTATAACTTCCTGCTGAAAATGCAGGTTGTAAATTCCTTCGCTTGCACAGCTTCAACTCTGCTAGCCCGCGTGAAGCCCTCGTGTAATCGCTAACTGGATGCTCGCAGTACTCGGCAACGAACTCCGGCAGTAGTGTACTTCATCACTCTGTATCTGAGCTTCTTAGCGCACACGAATGTCTCTCCAAATTAAGCTTGCGACCGCCCTTACGCATTACCTATTCCATTTCCCTTTTGCCTACGTAATAGCCAAATTTTGCTCGCGGTACTCGGCAACGAACTCCGGCAGTAGTGTACTTCATCACTCTGTATCTGAGCTTCTTAGCGCACACGAATGTCTCTCCAAATTAAGCTTGCGACCGCCCTTACGCATTACCTATTCCATTTCCCTTTTGCCAACGTAATAGCCAAATTTGAGCCCGCAATACGGTTGCCCGCGCATGCTAAAAGTAGTACTTGGACGGTAGGTCATACGAAAACACACTAAACCAAATTTGATGGGCTATTACTAAATTTCATAGGTATGGACCACCCTGCGCGCGCTGCGGGCTAAGCCATGACAGTCAAGCGCTACACCTGAGTTTATGGGTATATAGTATACATTATATATTATATAGTATATAGTATAAAGTATATAGTGTGTAGTATA